CCTTATAAACCCTAAACCCTAAAGTCGTCAGGAGCTTTAGGGCCTCAGCGAAGCTCGAGTCTTCATAAACCCTGAACCCTAGGACCCCATGTTTGCCTTTGCCCACGAACCCCTGAAGAAACAACAACCCGGTGTTTGGCCTTTGCCCACGAATCTTCCGGACCTTCATTACAATTGCACTACTATGTGGGTAGTTGTCAAAATTNNGGGTACTAGGTGCCGTATTATAATAAGGACCCAAAAAGGGACCATAATTTTGACAACCACCCATGTCTACATGCCCACGAATGTAGGAAGACGCAACTATGAAGCCTCGGGCCAGGCAGGTCGTGTCACTGACGCGCCGCAACCGTTCCCCGGTCTCAGCCATGTCCGCGATGGACTTGGGCAGCAAGAAGAAAATCCTCCAGGTCGAGGAAGCGGAGATGGAGCCCAGCGACCCGGACGCCATGAGCGAGTCTGACAAGGAGACGATGTGCTGATGGAGAAAGCAGACATTTACGAGTCTGGCGAAGCCAGGTCAAAGGGGTTGCGACCGTCTCAAAGCAGATTTGGTTCGCGGGCATGGAATTTAAGCCTACTGTGTAGTCTACAGTGATGAGGAGGTTTCGGGCCTAGATTGAAAGTTTGGGGTTAAGCGTGTAGGCTGTTGGGGATCAAAGTTTAGGGGTTTAGGGGTTTGGGTTTGGGGTTTTGGAGGCGGCAAGAGTTTGGAATACCAGTCCTTCGGGTCTGCTTAACATAAGTCCACTACACATTCTCTAACTTTCCCTCAACATAGGTCTGCTTTTTTCGGTTTCGCTGACAAAGGTATACTCTAGTCTCTTTGGATTTCTTTAAATGAGTATACTGTATGATGCCCCCAGATCCTTGTGCTAAAGTTTAAGGCCCCTACACTACAACATCGCAGGACGTCACATCATCGGGTATCCTAAGCTTCATAGAAGCCTATATAAACCCTGAAGCTTCAACCCTACATCCAGTTATAGCGCTCAGGGTTAACGGGTAGCTATCTTAGGGTCTACGGTGTAAGGCTGTTGTAGTACTAAACCCTAGATCCTAAACCTGATTCCACTACAGAAGACCCAAGATGAGCCCCGGATCAGAAAGGTCCGGCGCGAAGTCCGTCCTGAACCAATCGTCAGCCATGACGTCCTCGGCGGCGGGGGCTCTCGGCGGGCTGCTAAACCCAGGCGCCTTGAAAGGGTGCAGAGGGCATGTGCCCAGAGACTCCAAAATCTCTTCTTTTAAGCAATCGAACCCAAAACTCGAAACCCTAAACCCCATGTGTTACGTCATAGTTGGAATTGGGGCCGGGCTCTTACGGAGTCTCCTACACCTGCTGTGGAGTTTGACGGGCTGCTGGTGTCTTCCGTTCTTGGTTGTGTTTTCAATTCTTAAGGGGGGAGTCTGTTCTTGCTTGTGTTTGAATTCCTAAGGGCGATATAGTTTTAGGGTTTAGGCTGTTTTGCGGTGACACAGCTAGGGCTTCCGTAGCCGCTGCCCGAGTCTGTAATGTAGATTCTCGGATGATGATCTGATGTGCCGCGGGCTGTAGTGCCGCGTTTACTTTAACACCCATGAGGCGACAGCACACGTATCCCCTGGAACTTTGGCTCTCTCACGGTGGGTGAGGATGCAGCATGTTGTGAGTCAGTCTCACCCCTAGAGCATCTAGCATATTATGTAAGCCTGAACAACGAATAGTGCGGTTCCTTAAGGCTCACTGAATATTATGTTTCGTAAGGCTGCTTCCTAAGATGATAGAAGAATATGCCCAACGACCCTATGCTAACTATTGCTGCCCTTAGTGGTCAGTTCTTGTTTGGGCTCTTGTGTTTTTCAGAGGTTTCCCGAAGGGCCCAAAGTATGTAAGATCTAGGTACAAGGGCTTAGGATGGTAGTAACCTTATATGATTTAGGTTTTTAGGTGAGGATTAGGTACTTGCACCAGTATAATGACCAGTTACGGCGTAGGATAGAGACTCTCGGCTGCAGGGCCAGGAGTACGGTATCTTGGTAAAAATAACTTCCGAGCTGATCGCATGCCGAAACCAGAAACCTCAAACCGTGATTCTTTAAATGGGTAGTTTTCTACATCATGGTCCCTTTCGGGCCCCTTCTTTTATAAGGGGGGGGGGGGGGTGCCGTACTATATTGGGGACCGACAAAGGGACCCTAATTTAGGGAACTACCCAAATCCTGAACTGCCGCAGGCTTCGTTGGTTCTTGTGTTTGAGCCTTTCGGTTTTGGGGAATGCTGCCGCTGGAAAGTCCTCTCTAAAACCTGAGCCCTCGAACTCAGACTCTAAAACCAGAAAGCCCTGCTAGGGTTTAGGGATTTTTAGGGTCTGTTGTTTGGGAAGCTCTCAGATCTGGATTTCTACTCTCGCAGGTGCAAGCAGCCCACCACCTGCCAGGCAGCGGAGTTTGTCTTGGGACTCACTCTAAACCTTGGTTGAACTTTACAGGCACTTTACAGCTTTATCACATTTAGGACTTGCCCTTTTGATATAATATTAGGGGCACTGAAAGCTATGATTTTAGCAAAGGTTTTAAGAGCAACCCAGTACTGGTTTATATCAACTGGTTTATATCAATTAAGGTACGCGGCTGTGCAGTTTAGGGTTTAGTCGGGGTACGGAGTTTGTTGTCGAATGTGGGCTTCAGCGTGTGTGGAGGCTTGTGACTTTCAAGGCAGGAGTGCGCAAAGCCTCCAGGTGATGTGGGAACTGCACACAGAGCGGTGCCAGCGGATGGCGATGGAGCACACAATCATGGCCTTGTGGAGCCGCCTGGCTGGGTTGGAGGCCCACTGCCTGGACAGCGAGGTCTACTTTGACCTGGCAATCGGAAAGCTTCAGATGCGGCAGTGACTGTGTATTGCCACTTTCATTTCCGGCCATTTCGTACTTTGGGCTGGGGCGACCCGATGTTGGATTGATCACTGCACAAAGCCAGTTATAGTAGAAATGGCTGTAACGATCCCGACGAATATAGGGATCTGAACCATTACCAATACTTCTCCATATAGGGCTCCAGATGTCAACGACACGAGAACCACTGTCCCGTAGTCTTAACAAGTAAGGCTTCTACATAATATCCCATTGCTATTTTCGTCCGCCAGGTCATTCAACCCCGAACCCTGCAGCTTAGGCTTGGTCTCTGGGATTTGAGACAAGCGTCCCCGCAACGCCTCCCCCCCCCTCCCACAGTATCGTCCGATACTCAGCTCTTTACTTAAAGCTTATTGGAGCTTGTTGCTAAAGTAACTTTCTCACTCAGCCTGCAGATTCCTCAATCAGCCTGCAGATTCCAGGATTCAACTTCGCAATAAGACGCGTAACACAAACTTCTGTTTCGGTTACATAAAAGCCTTTCGAAGACCTTTCGACCTTACAAAGGGCCACATGGATTGCTACTTTCATCCATATCATCCGGTCTTGCAAAGCAGCCGCTGTGAACTTTTTGTCGACTCCACACAGACAAAGAGACCCTTACAAAGTCCGACAAAACAGCTAGGAAAGTTAGAGGAACCGGGTCGGGGGGGGGGGGGGGGG